GTTAAGGGCTTAATTGGTTACTGCTGTAGTTTTAATTGTTTTACTGTAGAAATAAAACTATAAGTTTTTTGCTGTGACTGTAGATTTTAGTTCGGTAGATTTTAGTGCAGTAGGATTATTAATTTTTCAAAGCCAGAAAATTTTCCTTTACATATTTTGCTTTATACAGCTAAATAAATTAAAAAAGGAAACAAAGATCTGTAGCTTTAAAAAATCTGTGTAAAGTATGATTGGAAAATATTTAATGTTTTAAAAAAATTATGGCTATGTACAGATTCTACAACACTTACCAATCAAGCCCTAAGGAAAATATATAAGACAATGGTAATGACACTCTCCATCAATGTTCTCTAATAAAATTATTTTGATAGAGTATAATGATGCTTTTCTTGAAACATATGATAACTTTTAAAATTGCCCTCTAACACAACGTTCTGACAATATCAAAAAGTGAGCTCAACTTGGAACAAAACAAAAAAAAAAGCAAAGGTGACGACACACTTATTCCTCCAATACTTTAGCTCGTTCAACAACATCGGTCTTGGTGTTCACAAAAACGAAAACAATCAGAAGTTTTTCATATCGTCAAGAATATAATATATAGTCTCGTATGACTTGAGAACAAAAACTATAAAGTAGCAAAACTTGGATAGATAATGCATAAACTAATGTGACAATAACAAGTCACGTGATTGGTGCTTTCCTTGCGCCTACCCCCAAATTAAGAACCTTATTGGATTCGAACCAAAGATGGAACATAGCTAACGAGGAATGAGCATATAGATCCCGCGTCATGATGATCCACTTGCATGCATTTGTCCTCTCCCACAATGTGTAAGAAGCTTTTATAGTTCCCATGTTTACCGGGACACACTAAAACTCTATTCTCTCGGTCGGCCAAAAAATTCATCCCATCACATCAAGTAAAAAACTGTCGGTATATGTCTCGTTTCACTGTCAGAAACTTGCTCCATGACGCGGCTCCACCACTCTCGATCTTAGTTGCCATCCATACATCTATATCGAATTCAACATAGCCGCTACTACGAGGAGCTAAGAGACAAAGTTTTTGCTCTTGTCTAGTCACTGATAAAGCCATAGCATGATGATAAGAAAGATGATCAACCGGAAGAGACACTCTTCCGAATCTCTCTGTTGAAAAATCAAAACTTAGTAACATATCCTTCGTCTCTCGCGAGTGTTGACTAAAACTATAAGCAAGCCAGTAAGCATTTCCATCCACAGGTATGCCACGACCATTTAATACTGGAATGCCCCAGTCTCTAGACTTACCAACACCCCTCCACGAATTAGAGGTGAAGTCATAGATTTCGTACTCAACTAGGCATTGGTCCTAACCTTGTCCACGTTGATCCACCCTCAAGATTTTGTATTCGTTGCAGGAGGATTTACCGAGAGCATAGAAACCGAATCTCATGAAGGAATCTTTGGGTTTGATCACCCACCTGGTTTCACCTGTTAAAGGATTCCAAACCACCAGCCTATCGTCCTTGGTGATGCATAGCAATAAGCCGTCGCAGTGAAAGACCTCGCTTATATCCACTTGTTTCAAATAATTAGAAAGAGGATCTTTGAGGGTGAATTGACTCGTTAGCTTTACAAAGTTTCTGTGATGGATTCCATGGAGATCAAAGCTCGCTAAACAAACCCTAGAATTAATTAGCACGATCACCACTGATTTTTTAGCAAGTCTCCCATCTTGTTTTATCAGAGCGTTCCATCCTTTTGACGTACGTCGGAATCTTGACAGAGATGCCTCCGGAACCCTAGATAGTATCTCCTCAAGCAAATCCTCCGGAAGTTCTACTAAGCTTCTCCTCTTCTTTTCTTTTTCTGTCACTGATTTTCTTCTCCTCTTCGTCATCTTTAGCCAGAGTCTCATCTTCATTATCTTTAATTAAGCAGAGAGTTTTCAGATAGCTTGGCTTTCAAGGAAACTGGGGTTTTGAATAATAATAAAAGGAAAAAGATGAGACCGTGCCGGAAGCTTTCGAATCGATAGCTCATATATATATAAACTCTTTGTAACTTAGCTGCTGTCTATTGTGGGCTTTCAGCCCAAAGTCGAGTTTTACTTTGGGCTTCGGGGCCTTCGATGCTATTAGGAATACGACTTTTAGACTGGAAAACAAAAAAAAATGATATTTTGTTTCATGACGTTTTTTTTTAAGTTTGTAATTACGAAAACAGGTTTCTGAGAAGAGAGAATTTTATGTTGGACTAATGAGAGAAACAGAGGACAACTATGAGATGAAAGCACATAAAGATATGCGTTGAAAATTTAACTTTCTACATAAACTCTTGTTTTTTAGTTTACAGGTATACAAATCCCTCATCAACACAGAAGATAAGATATACTTATTGTTTCTGTGGTGGGATGAGCGAGTAAGACTCAAAAGAATACGAAGCATAAAAAAAAAGAATGATGTGACTTTGCATTACTAAAGGGAGAATGATTGTTTCTCTGTTCTCACATGGTCACGGATTCAGTATAAGTTTGGTTCTCCACATCTCTGCAACTACCTTACGCGGCGCCGGATCATCTGGACCTTTGTCTCGTTGCCCCGAGGTGAAGTATAGCTTCCCGTCCCAATACCCAACCAGCGTTGTCTTCACACGGTATGGCAACTTTCCAATCACATACCATTTCTGCAGAGAAAACAGAAACTCAGCTACTTGGTTTACACTTTACTAACAGGTTAATGACGTTTTGAGCTTTTTTACCATTGTATTGAGGTTAAACTGGAAGATTTCGCCAACGAGAACCATCTTCTTGGTTTCAGGATGCTTCTCTGTGGTGCCTCCGACGATTACAATGGAGTTGTTAACCACTTTCCAAGCAAACTCAATATGGGAATCGGGTTTTGGCATTGACGGCATAACTTTCCACTTCATTTCCTCATCCAGCATGTATACATCACTGAATACCACCTGAAAACCACCAAGGTTCAACAGAAAGGACCACACACGACGTTCATAAAATCAGAACCAATGCATGAGGAGCCATGATATTCACTTAAACAGGTAGTGCATTGGATTACCTACCTCCATACGGCGTGAGCATTTGAAGATGGGAGATCCTGGTTTAGCCATGAAATCACCTTCTTGACCACCAATGACAAAAAGCCTGTCATCCACTACTACGCATGCTCTACAGTCACAAGAACAGTTGAAACCTCAGATGAAATTTGAGTATGGCGTAGGATTAGCAGCAACAGAATCCTGAAAATAACCTGTGCGGCCCTCCACGAGGGATAGGAATTTCACGTCTCCACTCTTTCTCCAACGCTTTCCCATCTTTCACAGCGATACTCCAGTGTTCAAGTCCTGGCGTATGTCGATTCTCCTTGCTTCCACCCATCACATGGAGTCTACCTCTCCATAGCTGAGTAGCTGGAGCATACCTGATATGTAGTACATAAACCTTGTCACTCACTTTCTCTTTAAAACATCTTACACGATCACAAGAAAGACCAATCTTGAGAAGCAAAATGATGTCTAAAAACATCATCTACTTGATTCAAAATTACCTAGGAACCGGTAAAGGAATGAAGTCACTCCACGTATTTGTATCAGTGTCGAGCACAAATGTTTTAGCCGTAGGCCCTCTACATTGAGGACCATACTGACCAGTGACAATGTAGATGTATCGACCATCCGTTACCATCCCTAAATGTGAATGCGCCATCTCTTTAGGCATATCGAATCTTCCTCCCCATGTGTTATCTACGAAATTGTATATATCAACATGCGAATGCACCTGAACGTCGAGACACACAGAGAAATCAAACCATCACTGGTCCAGAACCACCCCACAAATTGCTACGAATCAAATTATTTCTTCCTTCTCCAGTAGAAAACAAGAGATGCTTACGAGGTTAATGTTGCCGTATCCAGCAAAGACAAAGAGAAAGTTCCTAATCTGAATCGCAGCTCCATCTAGACGAGGCACAGGTGCAGCTGCCATCTTCTCCCATTGTAGTTGAGGAGCAGCCAAATCCTGAAACGTTGCGGATAGCTTCCTTTCCCGAGCATTATCCTTCTTCTTCTTAGTATCTTTCTCCTGAAAGCCATCAAAATTATTCAGACGCAAGAAGTGATTACCTGAGCTTAATTCTCTAACACATGAAAGACATCATCATCAACAACAGACCAAATCGGGCATACTTACATTGGAATCAGGCGGGAGTTTCCCAATCACGGTAGTAACGGAGGAAGGAAGAGAGATCCCGACGGAGGAGAAGCGATGAGAAGAAGCCCAGAGGAAGTCGGCAACAAGCCCGACGGCTAAAAGCGCGAGGAATGAAACTAATACAACCCGCCCATAACTCTGCTTCCCTGCTTGTCTCGCCATCTCTCTCTCTCTCTCTGTCTCTAAATTGGCATCTCCCTTTAAGGGTTTCACAAACTTCAATCAAAGGTTAAACCTTTGGATTCCGGCGAAAACACACAGATTTTGGAGGATGCAGAGGTGACGGATCTTGATCTCCGAGAGGGCAAAGCTGAGTGTTTTTTCCCTCTGGTTATATATTTATTTTTACCTTAATTAAAATAACATTTTGATGAGTTGACAGATATATACAGGGTTTAAACGCAAACGCAAATTCCGGCTCAGTGTCGTCACTTATTTTCGCCGCCGGCTTCTCTTGTCTCTCTGTTTATCAAAACCGAATCCCGTCGCTTTCTCTTCTTCGGCTATAATTTTCTTCGGAAGGGAAGGAGTTAGCTAATTTTGATTAAAGGTTCTGGATTTGTTCCTTTCTTACATATTCGATTTTCCCATTCTTAGTTGTGATGATTACTCGTTTTTGCGCATATATCTCTTGACATTTTAGGACCCCAGACTCGTTCCTTTTAGAGTTCTATCTTCTTTGTTTTCACTCTGTGGCTGCTACTGAAAATTGTGTTCAATCTCGTAATAACAATTTAAGGTTTGGTTTGCTTCTGGTGCAGTTGTTTGTTTGGGTTTTGTTTCTGGAATGGCTCAGTCTGTGAGGTCTACTCTAATTCCTTCGAGAACACCACAGAGCGTTACTAGGACAGTGTCTGCGAAAACCCCAGCTTTTGCATCGGTCTCGTTTCTTAGAACATTACCGGAGTTCAAGAAATACCCAAAACCGTGCTCACTAGTCATGTCTTGCCAGGGGAAGGCCCAAAACCAGCAACAGTTGTCTCTTGACGATCTAGTCACGAGTAATCGGAAAGGAGAGGTTCTTGGCACAATCAAAGAGTCGCTTTCTAACTGTCTCTCCGATACCAATCTTCTTGAGACTGTTCCTGGTCTAAAATCTAGAATCAAGGGCAAGGTTGGTGGTGTTTCCTTTCAAGTTCCGTTATTGTTGTCTTCAAGGACCAATGCTAAAATAGCTGAGGAACTTGTCACAGTAGCAAAATTGATTTTGCAGGTCAGAGACATTTATGATGCTGGTGATTATCTGGTTCTTATTACTACTGATCGGCTGAGTGCTTTCGACAGAAATCTTGCTTCAATTCCCTTCAAAGGCCAGGTTTGCCTTTCTCCATGTTTTGGCTGTAAATTGACTTGGATAGCTTCAAATGTTGCAAAACATTTCTTCGTAGGTCTGTATATATCAAACTGCTACGAGTAATATGTCTGTGCTGCTTCACTTTCAGGTTCTTAATGAGACAAGTTTGTGGTGGTTCAATAACACACAGCACATAACTCCAAATGCAATCGTTTCATCTCCTGACAGGAACGTCGTTATCGCAAAGAAGTGCTCTGTTTTTCCCATAGAGTTTGTGGGTTAGTATGTTTTGGATTGAAATGCAAAGTACTTTGTCAGATGCTTCTCTATGTATGCAGCCTGTATCTGCTTTAGTTCTAGACTGTTTTTTTGTTAATATATATTTTTGTTATGTGTAGTTAGAGGATATGTGACTGGAAGTACTGACACGTCTTTGTGGACGGTATACAAGAAAGGTGTTCGGAACTATTGTGGGAATGTGCTCCCAGATGGTATAGTTTCTTTTGTTGCCTTCTTTTTCATGCGCATGTCGGAAGATAGTTAATAGCTTAATATACTGATTAGTGATTAACTAATTTTTTTCAGGATTGGTGAAAAACCAGAAGCTTTCAGCTAATATACTTACACCAACAACTAAGGCTGAAGATCATGATATGCCCATTACTCCAAATGAGGTATAATAATCTGTCACAGAGAAACAGAGTAGAAACCACAAAATATGAATGGAACTGTTTCTGAGTCGTTAGTTTTACTATTTCTTAGCTGTAACACAGGATAAATTTCACCGAGAGTTGTTCAGTTTTAGTGTTGCTTCTTATTTTGTGGTGTGTTAACACGGCGAATGATTCTTGCAGATAGTTGAACAAGGATTCATGACTCAAGCTGATTTTGACGAAGCAAGTATGAAAGCTTTGAGCTTGTTCGAGTTTGGGCAGGTTAGTTACAACTCCTCCGTCTAAAGCCATAGACTGCAATGGTTTTTGAGAATCTTACGATTGCAGACCACAAGAAATCAGATTCTATATATACTTTGCTTGCTTCAATACTTAAATCTTGTGCTTTGTTGGAAGGTCTTTAGGATTCTAAATTTGTTATGATTTTTTCAGCGTGTCGCCAAGGAGCATGGACTGATACTGGTGGACACAAAATATGAGTTTGGAAAAAGCAGCGATGGTGAGATCTTATTGATAGATGAGGTTAGTTTTATTTTCTTCTTGTTCTCGTGTCATCTCTCTTTGAATGCACAGTTGAACACAAATCTGCACAGCTGCCAAATTCGCTGATTAGAATCATTTACTTTTGTACACGATGTATATAGATTCATACGCCGGATTCAAGCAGATACTGGCTTGCGGGTTCATATGAAGAGCGCTTCCAAAAAGGCCTTGAGCCTGAAAATGTTGATAAGGTGAGTTATTTTTCCTGTTTTGCTGTCAAGCCATAGGTTTCACTGGGTTGGAGTACTTTGCTCATCACGTGTTCACTCTTTGTTTAATCCAAACAGGAGTTCCTAAGATTGTGGTTTAAAGAGAATTGCAATCCGTACGAGGACGAGGTATGCTTACATCTTAACTTCTTGCAAGTTGCAAATCTCTCCTTTATCTGATCTGCTAGTATTTATGGTGTTTCGATGTCCATATATGTCAGGTTTTGCCCGCTGCTCCAGCAGAACTTGTAACTGAATTAGCTTGGCGGTATGTATTTTGATGTGTAAACTCTATTATAGCCTTGCTCTACAACATGTTTTCGATATGGGAATTAAAACATTGAACGTGTATACTCGCTAGACTCTATTAGCATTTGCAACTAACTAGTCTTGGTTATAAGAACTGATGGAAGAACCCGTGACAATGGCAGATACATTTTCTTGTTTGAAACTATCACTGGATCAAGAATTGACATTCTTCCGACAGAGGTATGATCTTGTTCTCTCAAAAGTCTTATTTGTTGTGATTTGTTATATTAGAGAATTTGACGGCTTTTAAAGCGTATTGATCCCGTAGCTTTATCGACAGGAACCAATACAAGACCGAATCTCAAGAAACACAAGCCAAGCACTTTCATCTCTCCGTCAACTTTGAACTTTGATATAACCTTAAGCCAAGGAGGCAGAGAGCATTAAGTCTGTTTCTTGTTGCATTTCTATGTCAGATTGTTGTGATTTCGTCTTGATTTATTAGTCTTAAACAAAGAATAATAACAATTGATCAGGCAAGAAGAGTCCTAAACGAATTCATTTGTTCCGGTTATTGTCATAAAGCTTAGCGAATTGGAATATAGAGTTGTAACAGAGAAGAGAGGATCACTTTTGCTGTTGATCTCCCCCGTCTACGAACGAACAAAACCGAGAAAAATATAATTCATCTATATTGACAACTGAAGTAGCAGCCTTGTCCAGAACCAAACAATCATCATCGATGAACAGACGAAAAAAACATAAAAACATAAGGTTTTGAGTCACTGTATTGTTCTGCCTATCAATGCCCTGTCGAGGTTAGTACTTAGTTGTAATTCTTTTGCAGATTGGCATTCTGCAACCGCCTTTTTTTGAGATATGTAAAAATCCTAACTGGTCTCTCTACCATTCTTTCTGTTCCATGTTATAAAACCGTCTTTAGCTTCTACATATAGACAAAATTCTTCTACTTCTTGCTTTTATCAGTCTCTACTTTTCTGCAACCAAAGATGTTCAAAACCATGTCAACAGTTGAAATCCGATAAACAGTTCCAAAAGAAGCTTCAAGTTGCAGTATGGACTTGCAATACCTACCTTTTCATGCATTCACTTGTATCTTTTTGCGTCCATCGACCCTGAAAAGTTCCATGAAGAGTGTTAATGATTGTTATGCAATAATGTGATGGACTTAGTGGATAATTTGCACAAACCAGTCAATAGCTAGGCTGATTGAAGTGCCGAGGCTGTCTTATTTTCCACAGTGACAGAGAGAGTAGCACAGCTCTCTTTCTCAGACTCGAGCTGTTGGGAATCTCCGGTCTTTGATGGGGAAGCAAAAAGGCTATCAGGCAAAGCGTTCTCCAGACTTGTCTCTTGCCTTGAGCAATGATAATAAAAGCATGGATGTAACCAGTTTTGAATCTGAAAACTATGCAAGACTTAAATCCCTTTAAACAATGAGAATCAATCATACCCTTTGTTGAGATGGTCACGTTCTTGGCCATTGTTATGATCAGTATCACTCAGAAAAGCTAGGCTTGCTTCAGACTGGAAATGTCCTGAATCACCATTACCTGCTAAAGAGGAAACAACAGGAAAGGGAAAAAGGGTGAATAAAAAGAGCAATGTAAAGCCAATTTCCACGTGGAAGGAGATCGAATAACCTTCAATGCCTTCTTCGCCAGCGTTTTCCGATCGAAAGAGCATGCTCTGATTGACACGAGAGGGGAAATGAATAGGAGAGCCAATAGAAAGACTACGCTGGTGATGTTGAAACGACTCACTATCCATGTCAGGCAACTGCAGATTGAGAAACCTTCTCCTTTGGAATTCCAGTGCTTGTTGCAAGTCAGCTTGTTCAGCTTTTCTCCTCAACATCTCCTGTGTGTTGGAAAACATCCTCGGTGCTGACAGCAAACAAATCAAAACTGGTCTCAGAACAATTAACGGGGAAAAGAAAAGAAACAAGAGATTGTGCTCCGATGAAACCATATCCACATGGTGAATCAAGCATAGGAAAAGAAAACAATCAACTAACCAAGGTGACAATCAAAGAGATCCCTGGAATCCATTCCAGATGGACTTGAGCCAGGAGAGAAGTTCCCTCTCTCCATCTGCTGCAACAGTTGCTGCTGCTGCTGCTGCCTCCTGCTATTGTTTGATGAAAAGTATGATAAGAAAAGGGAACACAAAAGAGAGAGAGAGAGAACAAAAAAAAACAGGAATACGCATGAGAGGTTTGGTTTCAACATACTTTTCAAGGATTCTTCCTTTCTCCTTGTACGGTTTGACAAGCACACGCGAGTCACAGATGAAATGAGGGTTTCCTCTGGCCAATATGATCCTCACAGTTTCAGAGTGGACGAAAGTGACAAACCCAAACATTCGTTTCTGCTGGTATGGGATCCTGACATCTTGCACCGGTCCAAAATTGCTACAACGAAACAACAAACACAGTGAATCTTAATAACATAGCCAGGCAAATGTTTGAAGACATCCACCAATTAACAGCTCTGATTACAGTTGTGTATTTTGAAAGATACCCAAAGTAATTGGAGACATCTTCGTCTGTGAAGGAGCTGTCAGCTGGAAATGTCAAGTAAATCTGTTTAGCTGCAGAGTTAGATTTATCTCCCATCCCCATAAACTCTTCCCTTTCATGCCGTCCTGGACTACCATACCAGTAACCCTCTTCCCCAAACTGTCCTGCTCCTCCTGATCTGCACAAACAAACACACTCAAATGAAAACTAAGAATCAAAAGTCAGAGACTTCTTCCAATTGTATGACTCCAACGTACTTGAAACAACCGAATAAACCAAAAGGGGGAATAACAAGAGAAGAAAGCAAACAATGGCATGTGAATGAACACTAAAAGTAGTAAATCATACGAAGAAGACCTCAACAACAGCAGTAATACACGCAATAATTGGCATCTAAAATCCACAAAGATCAAAACTTTCCCATGATCCAGTGACAGCAACAACCGCTTGACTTGGTTTGCTTTGTAAAATCTGAAGTCTTTACTAACCAATACTGTTCAAAAATGAACATTATTAGGCAAAAAGGAGGTCAATTTAATGATTACCTATGCGCATTACGCGAATGCAAGAGGACGTTGATGCCTTTATCATACGACATTGGAGAACCACTAGCCGCCAAAAACTGAGCCGCGGCCATTCGCTGCCGCTGAACCAGTTTCATCCTCGCTATCTCCTCCTGCTGCCTGCAGACGTAATCCGGCGAGCCAAACCCGCCAGTAGAATCAAAATCATCACCTAAACCACCACCGTGTGGGTACCTATTGTAACCGCCGCCGCCATACCCAGGCTCATCTGACCCGAAACAAGCATCGCTGGCTGAGAAACTCCTCTTGTGCAAATGCGCATCGCCATTGTCGACCGAGAACCCAAACGGATCCGCAGATTCGTCGTTGTTCTTCGAGGAGGATTCGTTGAGGAACGACAAGTAGTTGCCGAGTTGCTGCTCATCGAGGAAATCGCCGTTTCCTCCATTAGCGTCGCCGCCATCTGTAGCGAAAAGCGACGAACTTGCTTGAAACGGGCTCGAAATCATGCTAGGGTTACTTCCGTGTGAGCCAGGAGTGTTCACGGAAGGAGACAAAGGGTTCCTCGAAAACTCCATAAACCCATTCCCTGACGCTCTCGGAGAGGACTGAGACAAGGAATGACGGTGGATGTTAATGGGTCTGGAGATAGGGTTCAATGGCGTCGACGAAGAAGGAGATCCGTTCGAGGAAAGACCCAAAGCGGATTTAGCCTTGAGGCAGACGGACTGTAAGAGAGTGTCGGGTCCAAGAGCAAGACGCATCAAATCTCTGTTACCCAAGTCCTGTAACAGCAAATAGCCAATGATTTTGGAGGCGAAATCAGGTTCTAAAGTTCTGATCTTTGTGAAAAGTATAGAAGTAGGATCTCCCGGATCCATGGCTAGATTAAATTTCTTTACTTTTTTTTTTCTTTCTCTGAGAGAGATTGAGAAGGAGAAGAGGCTCTTTTGGTGATGAGTAGTGGGTACTACTTGGGTTTTTTTTTAATTCATTTATAAATGTGTGTTTTTTTGGAGATTTGAGTGTATGATTTTGTCTTCTAATGAGCGCATTTATTAAAGGAAATTAAGAAAAAGAGAAAAACTACTTTCGTAATGTGTTCTTTCTTTTCGGGTTCTGTTTTCTTATCGGGTTTAGGGTTCTTTAAGTTGGTCGAGACTCAGAGTGGGATTATAGTAACAAATCGAATTTGTTTCCTTAATCTGCTTAAAAGAACATTGTTTTATTCATATTTTGTTAATATTTTAATACTGTATCTTAACCAAGGGGGTTATTCTCCATTGGATGCATGATTTTACAGAGTTTAACTTCTTGTTTTAGTCAACTCTAGTAAAATTCAATTCTATGAACAATTTGTAGATAGTCATTGATATATTTTAGAGGTTTGACTAAAATTAGGTGCTTTAGTTTTGTTATATATGTATAGTTTATAGTAAGTTAATGAATTTCGTACGTTACCAAATTATTGTTTTATTAAATTTAGTCAGATGTATGTGTTATTTAAAATAATACTACAGTTTAATAGAAAAATTATTATTTAAAAAAATTAGTTGATTTTATTATGATTATGATAATACATTAGTAAAATTAGACGATTTGTAATTATGAACATAATTTTTTAACAATAAAAAGTTATTGAAAGATATGTATAAGTTTATTTTTATAAGTGTTATCTATATATAAATTTCAGATATGAAAAATATTATTGCAAAGAATAAAAAATTGGTTTAGTCAAAATTAATTTCACGAATTATATTTTAATAATCAATTCCTATATAAAAAAAATATTTCCAACAGTTATATATTAAAACAAAATTTATAATGAGTTTTTCATCTTTTGTCATCACTCATCACATATAAGATTGTGTGCAAACTTTCATTATTATTATTATACAATAATTAATTTTAATACATTTAGCTTTATATAATAAGATTGTTTTCTGAATTTTATTAAATTGTTTATATGAGTAAAAGGTTGTATGTAGATGTGATTGTGTATTGTTTTCTAAATGTCAATCTGTATAATTATATAGAAAAGTTTAGGTAAAAGATTTAAGTCAATAAATTACTATATGTATTAAGTTTAAAGTTCCGCAGGATATATATTAACCAAATTGTAAAATCAGTGGTTCTTCTAACGAAGTTTGCTTTGGTTTTATCAAATGAGGTGCTCTGGTTATTACAAACATTTCGAAAACGTCAAATTTTGGAGCAGATGATTCATACTTCTTTTCTTCTATGAAGTCTACTGTTAATGAATCTTCTGTTAATGAATTTCTATATCTTATTATCTTTATACATGTATACAATAGAATTTTAAGGAACAGAGACTTGTCTGCTATATATTTTATGTGACACCCATATAACTAAAGAAACAATGATAAAATAAATTATAGTAGCCTTTTTTTTTCCCTTTTTACCGCAAAAATCTGGAACCGGCCTGCTTGGTTAACCGCGCTTACTTTTCCCCTGACTCACTAAAACCCGCGCGTGACATAAATCTTTTCTCAGTCGGAAATATTCAACTACAATGAGTGCACGTAGCTTTAAATACTCTCTTCGGATCCTTACCGTTAAAAGTGTAGCACAACAAGTAATACTACAAGATTGCTTTACGGGGACACGTGAGGTTCTTCTCAATAGTCATAGTCAATTTGACCAGATTTCGTATTATTTGACAGAACCATGCATCAGACAATAATGAAACAAAAGTAAATGCTCTTCATGGAAATCGAGAATTATCAATTTGTCATTTCATCTTTTTTTTCCCCCCCGGTTATTTCTAATAAGTAATTTTAAACTGTATTTAAAATTTTCCGGAAATAGATAGAACAATGATGACAACCAAGGACCAGTATCTAACATTTTTATAATTAAATATGGCTATGAGTATTAGTATCCTAGGTGTGTGTATGAGTAGCTGTCACATCATGAATGCCAGAAAAAAGAAACAAACAAATCATGTTACAATTTTGAATGCATACTTTGTTCTTTTGGGCAATTTCGCTCTTTTATCTAAAAGCTATTTTGTCCATGCAAGCTACAATCATTTATATCCAGATGAAATGAAACAAAATTGCATTTAAGTCAAAGGCCTATAAAAGCCCAATTAAAACCCATTTCATTTCCGAAAGAAGAGAATCATCTTTCCGGAGAAAGGCGAGAAAATTCAATGGCGGCCCAACGATGTATACCTTACTTGTTCTTTTTATCTGCTTGCAATGTGTCATGGACTAGATATCAACATTTAAAACCAAGTTTGGTACATTAAACCAAATCACACTGAATTCCTCTCTGAGAGTAATTAAAAGTTTAAAACAACTTGAAGGATTTTTTTTGCCGGCTTAATGGTATATAAAGAGTATATACATTTTCTTGATAAAAGAACATCCATTAGAATATAGATCATCACTCTACTGGATTTGTCGAGATGGTGAGATCTTACATTGCTTGTAGGGGGGTTTGATATTCTAATTGCATTTTGGTTTCATATAAGAAGTTTATATGTGTCTTCTTGATCAGAATTATGCTTTAAATACAGATGGGTCAGTGTGTTGGATCGTACCAAAAGAAGGAACTCGGGATTTTGCAACTTAAGTACCAGTATCTATCTATATATTGTTTTTTCATATTAATTAACATTATAGCATTATAGCAGCCTTATCTTATATTTTCCTTACAACACAATACGTGGCAATACTATATTGTATTGCTAAAGGGGGTGGGTGTATCCGTTGATGTATCATAAAGCTGTATATGTGTTGACAATATATCATTCTAACCAATGATATAGCTTTCAATTTTGTCAATTGGGTCATGGTTTATGAGACTGTGACTATGTTCGTTATTCAATCTTTAATTTTGATTTTTTCTTCTTCTATAGTATATATTACTATTCGCTGTCGGTTTAGATTCACTTATACCTTACTAGTTGTACATATGAGTCATGAATGTCGATTTTTAATACTAGTGTATATGAGCCATGAATGTGGCAACCCAATTAAAGTTGTTTTTTTATACTTACACATTTTTATGTAAGGTCGATTTTGTAATATGGGTTCCTATCTTTGGTTGGAACTCGGGATGGTACTTCATTTAAAAAATAAAGTTATGCCATAACAAAATAAAACCACAATAATTGGAGGAGCATATTTTTTACCAAAAAAAATATTTTTAAACAAAAATGAATGTAACCATTGGTAAGCATATGGGTGCCAACTACGACCTCTCATTTAATTATTTACCCTTTTCATTAAAACCCGTGACTCTGCTTTTTTACCACTTTCTATTTTCAGCATTTGGTTTTGTTTGACGTTCGAGTGTAATAGAATGTTAATCACCTAAAACTTATGTTAGGAGACAAATATGTTATGTTCTTTCGTAACTTCGTGCGCTTACTAACTACTAAGAGAGTAGTGCAACAATTTCCTGAGTTCCAATGCCGTTATAAAGTATATATCCGAATTCGCATTCTTGAATCCTCCAAAATAAGAAATAACTAAGAAGTGATTTGTTTTCGTTAATTCTGCTGTCGCAAAATAAGTTTTTGTTTTGATTTTATTGGACTTTTAGTACTCGTAAATATTTTTGATTAAATGTAGTTTAGATATACCGTATACGTAATGAGATGAAGAATTGTATTTCCGTGTCAAATTTTTGTCCACAAGTACAGTTTGTGATAAGTAAGAACAGTTCGTAATAATTTGTTCATTCCTAAAATTTCAAATGTTCTCACTTTCTCTCGCAAAACCTAATTGCACATTTGATTAATTAAGTGAAACATTTCTTACTTTTGTTTGCAAGATCCACATCGTTTTCGCGTTTATGATAAGTACGATCAGATTCATTCATAGTGGCTGCGCATCTCAATTTACAAATATAAATCATTATCAATAACGAATATGTGTAAGAACTATACGATCTAACTATTAGACCATTCTTTCTTTTTTCTGGTTAACAACATGCGTTTTACTGAATTTTTAAACCGGTTCCTGCCTCCTGCGTTTATGACACAACAACAACACTATTTATAACTAATACATGTATTGGTCAGCCATTGAACCATCATCTAAACGCATTATTCACGAATATAAATACGCGGGCCGTCCATCTATCGCCTGCTCTATACGCATTTACTGGTGCAAGCAAAACTATATAGTACGCCTATGTAGATGTACATATAAATGTTTGCTATACTAAATAGTAAATACAATCCATTAAATGAATTTAGTTGTTTGGTGATAGCAAAGCTTATATAGTCTCTTTAACTTTTTGTCTTTGTTTTTTGTATTCCTTTATTACTCCCCCTCCGACCAACAAAAAAAAAAGAAAATAAACTAGAAGAAAGAAACAAAATAAAAACTAGCTAGTGAGGGAGAGAAAAATAAAAACTAGCTAGTGAGGGAGAGAAAAATAAAAAAACTATGGATCTGGAGGGCTCGAGTAGTTACCGGAGGCAGCCGCCGTCAAAAGCGGAAATGAGCCGTGGAGCATATTTGGCGTGGGAAGACTTGACGGTGGTAATACCAAATTTCAGTGATGGTCCAACCCGAAGGTTGCTCCAGAGGCTAAACGGGTATGCTGAACCGGGTCGGATCATGGCTATAATGGGTCCTTCTGGATCCGGAAAGTCCACTCTTCTTGACTCTCTTGCAGGTTCGTTCTTTCAACGATTCAACTGCCATGCATCACACATACGACATATCTATCTTGTTTATATTATTATATATTGATGAATGCTACTATTTTTTTTTTTCTAACAGATCATAATTCATCTGCTAGATATTTCTATAAATTATAAACCCTTTTTGGTTCATTTCTGTTAATTTTCTTATAAACCATTTTTGGTTTATTACATCTTAATCACATTATCCTAAAT